TTCAGAGTAGAACTAGAACCTCTTTTGAGTTTCTCAAAGGGCCCTGAAGCAAAACAGTAGAGGGTACCTTGACTTTTTCGAGGTGATCTTGGAGAGAGTCGATGAGGAGATCACCCACAGGCTGCCAGGATCCCTTTATCACCTCAGCTTGACGCAGCTTGAGATCCAGTTCATCCGTTGCCTCCTGAAGTTCCTGCAGTCTTTCGAGGGCCTCATCTATTTTTCTCTGCCATTCAGCAGAGTGTAGGTTCAATTTTTCCCACTCAGAGTTGACCTCCTCAGCCTGTTTTCGTAGGAGCCGAGTGACATTCTGGGCTCTCTCCTCAGGAGGCAGCTCTAAATTGGCAATATGACAAGGTTTTAGGCCACATTCATTTTTTTTTTTTAAACATTGTTGAAAAGGTCATACTGGAAGAAAAGAAAGTACAGTTATAACAAGAGGCCAATCTACTGATTCAGGGCTCTTTTACACTTTGACATTATATTTGATACAGTGCAGCATATATAAAGTTTGTCTTGCTGGGTGAATTTGTTCTACCTTATATCAATTAGATAAATCCATTTAAGCCATTGAGTAGAGAAGTGTTAGGGTGCCCACCACAAGCTCTAATTTACTTCAGTCAGGCTCTTAAATTGAAAATTACCTTTGGAACAGTAGAATTTCTCCTCACAGATAAATTCCTTTTGGTTATTATTTTCTAAATGTTTCAATAACTGATCACTAAGCTCTTTTAATGTTTATTTATGAATGTGCAAACATATCTATGCAGGATGTTTTATGATTCCTTATTCTTTGTCAACATCTATGTTTAATTTGAATTGATTCCATTTAACCTAGACAATACTAGAGCTATCCAGACCCTGGCAGCCAGAATGGATGGGTTGCTCCGTCATCATTAATCCTTCTATCAATATGTTATTACAGTTCCACATTCAATTACCTCTGGGATCCTGGTAGAGTTTCTCAAGTCCTTCCAAAGGCTGCTCTGTCAAAAATATTCGTACAGTCTCAAGAGTACTCATGATTACAGGTTCTTTAGTTTTCAATTCCCTCTTGAAGGCCTGTGAAATAAGATGAAAAGAAATGCTTACTGGCTTGTGGCATTCTTCTCAAAATTAATCCTGGGTGCTCAGAATTTGGTTATGAAACTCCCAGGTCCATTTCTTTCTCCATTATTTACAAACTGATAATCATAAAATGATAAAGAAAGCTATACGGAATCTTTCTGTTAATTGGGAAACCACTGTGTTTGTGTAACTCTCTCCTGGGGAGGAGGGGGAGCTTTCAAGATATGCTAATATCTTTTCATTTAAGATAAGTGTGCTTTGTTTATATAACCTCACTGCTAAACTTGAAATCTAGCTAATATTGCATGGTACATATTGCAAAATCCCAATATGGTTAATGTAGACTTAAACACAGCCAAAAGAAGTGATACCAGATTGTAACGGGAAACCGTAAATGCCATTTGGCAGAATGGTTAGGGTATGTTGATGTATAAACTAATCCAACTGATAATCACCAGATAATCCTGACAAAATGGCTGACAATGAGTAAAACAGTGATTAACAGTAAACTGAAAACATTTTGAACATTTTATTGTGGTTTGGGTGGAAGTTTATAGAACAAATTAGTTTCTCTTTGACCAATTTATATATATGTCTTGTTTCATGACATTAGTTGCAATCCCCTCCATGTAACAGCATTCTTCTCACTATCTCCCTCCACTCCTATTCCCATTTGCCCATCTTTCCTGCCCCTTCCTGCCTTCTTAACTTTGTTTTTGGGCAAATGCTGCCCTTTTGGTCTCATAAGGTTGATTGTTCTGAGGAGCACATTCTTTACAGATTTGAAGCATGTCAGTGACCCCACCATTCTCTATCAGACCAATAAGTCTGGTCCTTTTGATGATTTTGAATTTTGTTCTACATTTTTCTTTCATGTTGTCCAGGACTTTCTATTGTGATTTTAATCTGAGAGGGCAGTAGTGGTAGCCAGGCACCATCTAGTTCTTCTGGTCTCAGGCTAGTGGAGGCTGTGGTTCATGTGGACCATTCACCCTTTGGACTAATTGTTTCCTTGAGTCTTTGATTTTCTTCACTGTTCTTTGCTCCGGATGGGAAGAGACCAATAGCTGTATCTTAAATGGCCACTTGCAAGCTTTTAAGACCCCAAGTCGCTATTCACCAAAGGAGAGTGTAGAACATTGTCTTTATTGACCCTTCTATGGCAATTGAGCTAGATGCTCCCACCCACCCACTAAGACTATGGTTCTAAGCCCTCAAGGCCAGTGAGTTGTTACCTCAAGATGTTTGGTTACAGCTAAAACACTTTCATAACTTCCTGTATGCTGTACTATATACCTGGATATGTTTACAACACTGTTTTGTTTCTCTAGTGCTGCTATAACAGAAATACCATAAGTGGATGGCTTTAACAACAAATAGGAAGTCATTCTCTTACAGTTTAGGAGCCTAGAAGTCTGAGTGCAAGCGCCAGTTCTAGGGGCTAGGTGAAGGCCTCTTGACCTTGGGTTTCAGGTCTACATTTTGCTCCTGGCCTACTGGAGCTGGAGGCATCTCTTAAGCAACTGCTGGCTGCTGAGGCTGACAAATCCAAGGTCGACAAGAAAAACAGCACAGTTTCAAGATCATCAGGCAACACATTCAGGGCCACTAGTTCAAGCCCAGAAACAGTCCCAAGACCAGCAGGCAACATGGCAGGTTGCTGAATGAAGACTCGGCTATTTGCAGGATCCAAATGTGCCAAAAATCTCAGGACCTTTCTCAAAGCTGCTTCTTATATACTGAAAGTAGACTAAATCCCTAAGGCAGGTACTCAGGTCTTATAGCAGATTCCACCATGAAGTTGATGACCAGTCTCATCATGAGGAATCACTACATCCAGCTGTCCAGCCACTCAAAACCAGGCTCAGACAAGTTGACACATAATCTTAACTACAACAAACATGCACAAATGTGTGTGTAGAAATATCCTCTGCCAAACCTATATATGCTCATGAATGTACTCCCAGACATCATCCCACACCTGTTCAGCTTACATATCTACCTATTTATCCACTCATAAATTATTGATTGTTATTACTGTTATTACAGGATTGTATATGTAACAGTATTTACCATTGCCGCCTTTTACTCTTGTGTACCACCCCATGTCTTCCATTGCCTTGGTCATTTTGTGCTGATCTCTTCCTTATTGTATATTGCCTTTCCCTTCACCAAAGTTAATAAATGTCTATTACCTACTTAGTTTTTTTCCCTCCTTCCCCCTGTCATCCCTGGTACCCATCAAAGAATGTTACCTTCTGTACTATACTTTTTCTTGACTTTTTACAGCAGTGGTCTCATACAATATTTGTCCTTTGTGATTGACTCATTCCACAGTGTAATTTCCTCCAGGTTCATCCATGTTGTGCTATGTTTTGTGGATTCATCATTTTTCTTTAATATTGCATTGTATTCCATTGTGTGTACATACCATAGTTTGTTCATCCATTCATCCATTGATGGACACTTAAGTTGTTTCCATCTTTTTGCTATTGTGAATAATGCTGTGATGAACATGGATGTGCATATAGACATTTGTGTTATGGCTCTTATTTCTGTAGGATATGTATCTAGTAGTGAGATTGATGGATGATATGTGTGTAAGACTGGGTTCTCTAGAGAAACAAAACCAGTAAAGCTTATATATATAGAGAAAGGGAAATTTATCTTAGGAAAATGGCTCACACACTTATAGAAGCTGGTAAGTCCAAAGTTCTTCGATCAAATGTCAAGCTGGAGGTTTTTCCTGACTCATGCAGCTGCAGGGGCTGACAAGCTCAAGGCTGGCAGGCAGTTTACTGGCTGTTGACTCCAACGAATGACGAATCCAAGATCTCCAGGCTGAATGGTGGATTGTTTGCTCACAGACAGTTGTAGGCAGCACAACAGAATTCCGATCCACAGTAGAGTGTCTCTTTTCTCAGGATGTTCATAAATATACTGGAAGCAGGCCACACCCCTAGGGAAACTCCCTTTCAGTGGATTGTCTTCTCAAAGTATATACATCTGATCCCATCACTGGAACAACCCACATCACAATTGCTTAAACCACACAGAATTGTGGTCCAGCCTAGTTGACACACAACTCCAAATATCACAATATGGTATATCTATTTCTCACTTTTTAAGGAACTGCCATTCCATTTTCCACAGTGGTTGTACCATTTTACAATCCCAATAGCAATGTATGAGAGTTCCAGACCCACACTGTCACCAGCATTTGCTGTCTTCCCCCCCTCCCCCAAATCATTGCTATTATTGCTGGGGTAAGATGGTACCTCATTGTAGTTTTGATTTACATCTCTCTAATGGCTAATGATATCAAGCATCTCTTTATGTGTTTGTTGGCTGCCTGAATATCTTCTTTGGTGAAGTGTCTGTTCATGTCCTTTGACCATTTTTTAATTGGATTTTTTCTTTTTGTTGTTGAGATGTTGAAGTTGTCTATAAATTTTAGAGATTAGTCCCTTGTCAGATATGTTGTTGCTAACTTTTCCCCCGGTTTGTAGGTTCTCTTTTTACTCTTTTGCAGAGGTTTTTTGCTGTGTGTAAATGTTTAATTTTTAGGAGGTCTCAGTTGTCTCATTTATCTTCTGCTCTTGTGAACATTCGGTTATTTTATGCCATAAATTAGAGCCTCTCAGTTTGCTCCTATTTTTTCTTTGATAGGCTGTATAGGTTTAGGTTTTACATTTAGGTCTTTGATCCTTCTTGAGTTAGTTTTTGTATAATGGTGTGAGGAGTGGATCCTGTTTCATTTTTCTGCAATTAGATATCCAGTTTTTCTAGCACCATTTGTTAAAGAGATTGTCTCTCCCCCAATTAATACATTTCAGCTCTTTGTTGAAAATCAGCTGTCCATAGGTAGGTGGATTTACTTCTGGGTTCTCAGTCCTGTTCCACTGAACAGAATATATATGTCTGTCATTGTACCAGTAGCAGGCTATTTTGGCTACTGTGGCCATATAGTAGGTTTAGAAATCTGCCAGTGTAAGATCTCCTACTTTGTTCTTCTTCAGCAGTGCTTTGCTTATCTGGGATCCCTTTCCTTTCCATAGAAAGTTATGATTAGTTTTTCTATCTCCTTTAATAATGCTGATGGCATCTGGATCAAAACAAAACAAAACAAACTCACTCACTGCTCTCAAGTTGATCTCAACTCCTAAGTGACCCCTCCTTGGGTTTCTGGGGAGGTATTTCTATAGAAGTAGATTGCCCAATCTTCTTTCCAAGGAGTGGCTGGTGAGTTTGAACTGCCAGCCTTCTGGTTAGCAATCAAATGACTTGGGCACCACACCACCAGAGCTTGCAGAATCTGGATCAAGATCGCATTATATCTCTATATTGTATTGCATAGTATTGACATTTTCACAATGTTAAGTCTTCCAATCCATGAGCATGATATGTTCTTCCATTTATATAGGTCTCTTGATTTCCTGCAGGAGTGTTTTGTAGTTTTCTTTGTATAAGCCTTTTGCATCCCTGGTTAGGTTTATTCTTAAGTATTTTATCTTTTTGGTGACTATTGTAAATGGTATTGTTTTTTTGATTTCCTTTTCAGAGTTCTCTTTGTTAGTGTAGAGGAATCTAATACATTTTTGTATGTTGCTCTTGTACCCTGCCACTTTGCTGAATCCTTCTATTGATTCCAGTAGTTTTCTTATAGTATCTCTAGGATTTTCTATGTATAGGATAACATCATCTGCAAATAGGGATAGTTTTCTACCTTATGAAATTGGATGTCTTTTATTTCCCCTTTTTGCCTTATTGCTCTGGTTTGGACTTTCAGTACAATATTGAATAAAGGCATCCTTGTCTAGTTCCTGTTCTTAAGGGGAATGCTTTCAGTATCTCTCCATTGAGAACATTTTGTGCTTTTGAAAAATACCCATTACACTACCTTTTATGACCTCGGTTAGAATGGTGCCCAAGGCATCTGACTACTAACCAGAAGGCTGGGGGTTCAAACCCACCAGCCATTCCTCAGAAGGAAG